TGTGTGTGGGGGGGGAGTAGGGGAAGTTTGTGGGTGACTTGCAATTGATACACCATGTGACAGAGGCAGAATTACTCATTTGTAGTGAGGCTCTGCTGTTTGAATACTGTTGTGGAAAAACTGGCAGCATGTTCAGCAGTCAGCATCACTCCATCGTAACCCTGCTTACTGTCAGCCTCGAAGAGGGAGTTTAATCGATTTCTCGGGGATGTACGTCACATGGAAAGGGCTAGTCTGTCGCACATGACGAGAACACGTATATCAGCACGGCATCTTAATCTTACACTTTTATTTCAGCGTTTATCTGGTGGCCAAACAGCTCTCAGTCAGGAACATTATTAACTATTATGGACATTTTATTTACTTCACCTTGTCTCGATTCAGCCAAAGACATTTGAATCAAAGGTTTCCTGAAAATGAGAATGAGAAACACATTTCTGTGTCCCAGAAACAGATGGCGTGAGCGCTGTTTACAGGAAGCTATAAATAAGGACTTTTTCCTTTGAAAAGGAAGCAGTGCCACAAAAACATGAAGTCGACGTGGGGCTGCGCGTAATCTGCTCTGTCATACTTACCCAGAAACCCCCACGGTCGTGCCTAGAGGCGACATTGGGAAGCCGTGTCAGTCCAGGGCCCCCTGCCTACCCCATACTCCCTGTTAGCCGCTGCTAAATGAGAGGTCGTGGAAAAATGCACTGATGATTTTCGCTTGTGTCTCTGTTTCGGTGATGATATTAAGTCATAAATAAACCCAGAGATTTTATAATTGAATGACTGTTACTTTTATATAGTGGTCTTCAAGACATCCAATGTGCTTTACAGAACCAAAAGGGAGTCACTTCAACAAAGGCGGACATTTCAGGTCCAGAAAGTAAAAATCCAAACCGGGGTTTTGTTTCAACTAACCAGTTGAGCATAAAGAATCACTGTCAGAGAACTCAGCTGGTTGGTTGAAACAGAATCCCGGTTTGGATTTTTACTTTTTGGACCTGTAATGTCCACATCTGCAAGTGCAGTGTAGCACCCACCTGGATGATTCTGTGCCAGTATGCTCACCATTTGTGACCCACTCAGGCTCAAGTGACAAATTTGTGACTCTGCAAAACTGATGGAAAGACTTGGACTTGACTTGGACTTGAGACATGAAGCTGACTTGGACCCTATGACTCAAATTTGAGGCTCAAGTCCCCCCTTATTTTATAATTCTCTGCTGTCTGCATGTTCAGTTGGCTGAGATGCATCACTCTGCAAATTCATGAATGTGGAAAAACTGTGTGAGGACAATTATAACTGAAGAGTCTCTTCAATCTACCTCTAAAGATTGTGTCCTACAACATACTGTGGTGGGGTTTCGCAGCAGCGAGTTTGAGTCACTAAGAGTCAGGACCGCGGTTTTACGCTGCGTCCAGTAGACGTGCCGCACTGGGGGCTCCACAAACCATAGCATGGGCTTAACATGCTGGTTACACCAACACCAACTTTCCTCACTGGTCTGCCATCCAAGTACTGGCCAGGCCCAGACCTGCTTAGCTTCAATGAATCCCTTTTGCAGTTGCCATGGTTACCGACAGCTTCCACGATGGGCTGGGGGACCACAGCAGGTGTAAGGTGAGGGCACGGAGTTTCTGGGGGAGGGGGCAGAGTCCTTGAGCGCCGCCCTAGCTGTCAGGCAGGTATGTGTTTGGCGCCGTCTGTGCGTGACGTGCGTCATCCTGTCACCCCGGAGCTGACCTGTAACCAGCAAGATTCTGGTCCCTTCCGTCACACGTGGGGAAACTGTGACCTGATTATGCCTGATAAGTGTGAGTGATGCTGCCAGCAAAGGAACGTCCCACTGTTACGCATAACTGTGTTAATTACACTTGTGTGGATGCCCGCCCCTACCGGGTACCCTGTGCTCATCCCAGTGTGCGCGTTGGCTGGGTAGGTGGGCGTGCCCAGCCGCATGGGTTGTGCCAGCCTGTCCCGGAGCTCCTCGGGCAAAGCCAGCTATAAAAGGAGCTGTAAATCGTGGCAGGGTGATTTATAACTTCGCCGATACGATCTCCGTTGCTGTCGGCGCTCCCAGTGGTCCCGTCTTGCCGGGGCCCCATTGTGCGATCCTGGCTGTGGTGCAGGCATTGTTTAACTATAAATTGTCTTTATTAGTGCTGTCAGGGGTCCAGGACGCTCGTGTCCAGACGCATGTTTGACTCGCATGAAGGAGCTTTGGAACAAACGCACTGAAACGGTCCAGAAGGATCTCTGAAGTTTTGCATACACGGCCTTCATGGAGGAAGATACAGATGTTAATGAAAGGCATTTGGTGTCTAGGGGTAAAGTGATATATTATCAGAAAATTAATTAGAAAAGGAAAATGTTTGTGTGTTTATTGTGCAATGCGTTTCTGCGTGTCTGATGTAGCTGCCCCTGTCACTGTGCTAGTGACTGTCTGCATAAAGGCATCTCTTTGTCTTCACATTGTTTCCCCCGTTTGTTACAGCTCAGCTCTATGCACTGACAGTTTCCTCCTCCA